GTTCGCCACCCGAATCACAAACAAGAAATAACACTTAACGGTTAATCAAGTAATTCCTCAAATTAGATGAAAATGTATCAAGATTTACGATGTGTAACGCCTGCAAGTACTTGATAGAAATTATAGTGAATTTCCGAATGGCGAGATGTCAGCTGAGGCGGTTGTTCGACCCACTGTGCTACCTCATGTTCACTTCTTAAAAATTCTGAAAGAATTTATTTGAAATGGATTCCTACTCATAATCTAGTCACTTCCATTAAATTCATAGCCCACAACGGAAAACAGATATTCGGAAGGTTTTGGAAATTAGTTTAAATAAGTTGAAAATTAACTATGCCAATAATTTTTTACTATATTGATAAATAAATGATAACAGAAAACAATATACCAAGTCGTATATCCTCATCCACCTTTGTCAGCAAGACAATTCCGACGACAAAATTTTGAAATGACAGTTTAGATGATCCCTGGCAAAACTTGGCGAAAATACGTGTACGTGTGGCGCGTGGAATCCCGGGATGGCACAGAACATCGGTAAAAAATTCATCCTCCGTAATTAGATCACGACCATCCCATGCCGTTTCCAACCGTTTCAATTCATCTGCACTTACTACAATGACGAGTAATACTAAATGAAGAATCAAAATAATGTTTTATTTTTCCTCTTACCAAAGTTCATAGGAGAATTTAACTTTTCTTTAGAAAAAACAAAAAACTATGTAAATTCAACGAAGTATTGAAAATTTTCTCACTATAAACTACTTCATGCGAGCAAATTCAACACCAGAATGCCGACTATCGCTTGGTAAAGTATGATGCCTTTATATTCGAAAACATGGGAAAGTTTTTTTTTTCTTCTCGACATCGAAAGTGAAACGTAACTATCAAAAGCTGTCATCAATAACTTTGCATAAATAGAACGAAATTATGGCCCCATAGTAAAAATACATAATTGGCAAAAAATAAAAGTAAAAATCAGATATATATTGAAAAGAAAAACCAAATTTGTACATCTGTTGTTAAGAAGAAACGTAATTTATGTTTCAGGAAAATTATAATTTATTTTTTTCCCTTTTTAAATGAATAATTTATGAACAAAAAAATTTCGCATAAAAATTCCAACGTTGGACAAAATTTCCATAACAAAACGAATCAAAAA